GGGACCTGGCGTTGGTCCTGACCCGCGCCTCCCTGCCCGCAGCACGGCGCCAACGTGAACGCGCAGATGTACTCGGGCAGCTCGGCGCTGCACTCAGCGTCAGGCCGCGGGCTCCTCCCGCTCGTGCGCACGCTGGTCCGCAGCGGCGCAGACAGCGGCCTCAAGAACTGCCACAACGACACGCCGCTCATGGTGGCGCGCAGCCGCCGGGTGAGTGAGTGTGCGCGCTGGTGGCGGCGGGGGTTACAGGGGTTGCAGGGGTGTCTGTGCCCGAGCGCCGGTCCGCGCGGATGTGACAGGTGAGTGGGCACGTGCGTGCAGGGGATGCTGCGGTGGGTGTGTGCGCGTCTGTGCCAGGGCGTGGAGGTGAGCCGGTGAGCCTGAGGGCATGGGTGTGAGTTATAGGCAAAGGAGTGACTGAGGCACAAAGAAAGGAAGTGACTTATCCCTCTGCACGTACTGAGAAAGAGGCGGTGCTCCCTGAGCTAGGAGACCCCCGTGAGCTAGGAGAGATGAAGAGAAGCAGGGCTGTGTGGGCAGGGGTGGCCTGATGATGACACCACCCCCCCATCGCCCCACAGGTCATCGACATCCTGAGAGGGAAGGCAACACGGGCTGCTCCTGCATGCCAGCCAGAGCCCTCCCCTGACCGGAGTGCCACCACCTCCCCTGAGAGCAGCAGCCGCCTCAGCTCCAATGGTGAGAAACCGGCTCCCAACTTCCAGCAGCCCAGCTCCGCCCTCCCTCAGAACCCAGGAGTGGGGGTCCCCAGCCCCCTTCTCCCTGGATCCAGCCTCTTGCTGCCCTCACCCCTCCTCTCTCTTCTCTTCCCATAGGTCTTCTGTCAGCATCACCACCCTCCTCGCCCTCCCAGTCTCCCCCCAAGGACCCCCCTGGATTCCCCATGGTTCCCCCAAATTTTTTCCTTCCTGCCTCATCTCCACCGACCTTCCTGCCCTATGCCGGGGTCCTCCGAGCCCCTGGCCGGCCGGTGCCCCCCTCCCCAGCTCCAGGAGGTAGCTGAGAGGGATGGGGGGGCAGATCTCGGACTCATGAGGAGGGACCTCGCTGCCCTATGGGGTCAGCCCTCCTGGAAACTGTGAAGATCTCACTCTGCCCCCCCCCCCAATCTTCTGGACCAGGATTTGCACAGAGGCACATATATTTACCCATAACCGCCCCCCTCTTCTCAGCATGGATATTCCCCCATCTCGTCCCCACCCCCAGCCCGGGACTCTTACCCTATTATTCTCAGGCACGAGTCTCCCATCTGGAACTTCACCCAATCATTCATTTCCTTCTCCTCTCCCAGAGCTGGTGGAACCAAGGAACAGCCCTCCCCTCTGGCCTTTACCCAGTTCAGTAAGGAGGGAGAGATGGGCTGTAGCCAGGCACTGATATCAATGTAAATTATTAGGCTTTTGGGTTGGATTTCTTTTGTAATAAACTATTTTTGTACCATATCCCTGGCTTTGCTAGGCCTCTTTCATGAGGAGGTCTGGAGGAAGTGTGTTTGTGTGTGTGCCCACCTGGGTGCTGTATCCAGCTGACTCCATGTGAGTCTCAGACTGACAGTGACATGTGTGGGCGACTCTAGAACTTACGGTGTGTTGTAAATGTTCTGTCATTGTGTCACTGTGCCATTGTTTCTGGGGACAATGTGAAGTGTGACATCTTTCCAGAGGACCCTGTTGGATTCCATAGTGCATGTGTGTGTATGTGTGCTTCTGAAGGATTCTGCGGTTTGTGGGTCCCTGTGGTACCACAGCTGGTTCCCCCCAGTTGTGTACCTGTGGTAAACCGTTGATGCCAGTTGCCTCTGGGTCTCCGTGCGTGTAGCATTTGTGAGTGTTCCTAACATTGAGACCTGCGGTCATCGTGTGATTGTTTCTATGTGACTGCCTCGCTTGGTGTATCACATTTTTATTCAGTGGCTCCAGGGCCCCCCTGACATACATATATATTTTTGACTGTCTGGACGCGTTTCTTATGTGTCAGTCAGGGTTTGCATTCATTTCCCGTTACCACAGTAACAAAGCACCACAAATTCAGCAGCTGAAAACAACACAGATTCATCCTCTTATAGTTCTGGAGGTCAGAAGTCCAAAATCAACTTGACTGGACCAAAGTCAAAGTGTCAGCAGAGCTGGTTCCTTCTGGAAGCTCTAGAGGAGAATCTGGTCCCTTGCACGATCCAGCTCCCAGAGGCCGCCTGCATTCCTTAGCTCATGGCCCCTTCCTTGTATCACAGCACCATCTTGCTTCTATCTGTACATCTGCTCTGATCTCCTGTTTCCCTCTTAGGAGGACCCTGTGATTCCCCCAGGTGCCCCCACATAATCCAGGATAATCTCCCCCATCTCAAGACCCTTAACTTCCTCACATCTGCCAAATCCCTTTTGCCATATGAAGTAACATTCACAGAGTTCCAGGGGTTAGGATGTAAATATCATCGGAGTCTTTATTCGATCAGAGAAGCAACATCACTAAGCAGTGGGTGTATGGATAAGTGATTTGTTACAGGGATTTGCCTGTTGGGAAGGGAAGATGGATGTACAATGGGGGAGGCAAGGACAAGCTGGAACCCCCAAGAAAGGGCTGGACCCCATGTCAGACCCCAGTGCCTCCAGCCTTGGAGAAAGGGGTGTCCTTTGGGAGAAGCTGGCAACCTTGGTCCCATTCTGTTGGTCTTCTGGAGTGACCATGTGTTTGTGTTTCCAAGTGATGCTGAGTGTGGGTTTTTTCAGTCTGGCGGGCCCTCCTTGGGCCTCTGGGTCTTTGTATGTCTTGGTGATTGTGAACATTTCTGCTGCGGTGACTCCACAACATGCTGTATCTGTGGGGCCCACTGCCTTAACGTCTTCCTAGGAGACACTTGCGTCTAGGCTAGGGGTGTGTGTGTGTGTGTACACACACGCACACACATCCGTGTACACACACTTCTGGGGCAGCTCTGACTGGGTAGCCCATGTTCACATGGCCGTCCTGACTTAGGTGGCCATGCGTCTTTGTGACCATGTGCCAGTGCTTTTTTTTTTTTCTTTTTTTTTCCTTCTGTACGCGGGCCTCTCACTGTTGTGGCCTCTCCCGTTGCTGAGCACACGCTCCGGACGTGCAGTCTCAGCAGCCATGGCTCACGGGCCCAGCTGCTCTGCGGCATGTGGGATCTTCCCAGACTGGGGCACGAACCCACGTCCCCTGCATCGGCAGGTGGACTCTCAACAACTGAGCCACCAGGGAAGCCCTGTGCCAGTGCTTTTGATGCTGCCTCTGGGCTATGGTGTCCCTAGAGCTGCCTGATTTGGAAGACATGCTGGTTTCCTAGGGCTGCTGTAACAAATGGCCACAAACTAGATGGCTCAAAATGAATTTATTCTCTCACAGTTCTGGAAGCCAGAAGTTCAAAATCAAGGTGGTCAGCAGGGCCACACTCCCTCCAAAGGCTCTAGGGGAGAATCCTTCCCTGCCTCTTCCAGCTTCTGGTGGCTGCTGGCATTCCTTGGCTTGTGGCTGCATCTCTCCAATCTCTGCCTCCATCTTCACATGGCTTCCTCTGCTGTGTGTCTGTGTCTTCTCTTCTGGCTCTTATAAGGATAATTGTCACTGGGTTTAGCCCTAAACCCACCCAGGTAATCCAGGATGATCTCATCTTGAGAGCCTAACCTTAAGTGCATCTGCAAAGACGCTTTTTCCAAATAAGGTCACATTTAAGGGTTTTGGAGGGTAAGGATGGGGACATATCTTTGTGGGAGGCCACCGCTCAACCCACTACAGAGGGTGACTATTGGGCCCTGCAAGCAGCTGTGTGTGAGAACTTCCCACGTGATAATCCCACCACATGAGCAAGGTCATGTGCAATGACTGTCTCTCCAGCAGACCGTGAGCCCTGGGAGGACAGTTTCCTCCTGCTGCCCTACCCACAGCAGCCAGCACATTGCCTGGCACGGAGCAGACCCCTGAGAAGTGATGGTAGAATGAGTGAGCCTCACCCACTCCCCATTGCATTATGGTGTCTGTGATTCTTTGTGGCTGTGTCTGGTCCCCTGTCACACTGTGTGACCAGTTTGGGAGCAAATATTAGCAGCCATGTATTGACCATGATGGCACCCATATTCCAGATGAGAAAACTGAGACTCAGAGCAAGTTGCCCGTCCAAGGCCAGGTCTCCTGCCTCCTAAACCCACGCTCATAGTCGCTGGGCCCTTTTTGACTCACAGGAAGGTTGTGTGTGGTTGTGCCTTTTATTCTGTGTGTGCACACGCATGTGTGTGTGGAAAGGGTGCAAGATAACAGGTGGTGTGTCGTTGAGAGCACAGGCCCCGGAGTTAGAACTGAGTTCGGGTCCAGCCCTTCCATTCCCTAACCATGTGACCTTGATCAGGCGACTTCAGGCCCCGAGCCTCCGTTTCCGCATCTGTAAAATGGGAATAATGCCCACGTCTGAGGGCTGATGGGTTGATGAGGATTTGATGAGAGTGTAGGTGCCAGCCCCATAACCAGCCTGGAGTGTGTGTCAAGATCTCCTTGAATCTGTGGGTCCAGACTGTAGGTGATGTGCCTCTTTGTGTGTGAGAAACTATCTCCCGGTTCAAAAGCTGAACCCGGCCCTGACCTTGGTGACTTACTTCTCTAAAACAAAGGATCTGGCTTCTCCACACATGGAAACCCCCTCTCAGCTTCCTGACCTTGGGACTGGGCACGTGTCCTTCCACACCCAGCCTCCTTCCCCTGAAGAAAGACTCCAAGGAGAGGGGAGAAGGGCTATATAGAGGGTCTCCAGTCCCCCCCCCAGCCCTCCCAGAATTAAACACCCCCCTTAACCACCACCACCAAGAACTGTTCTCATCTGTGAAAGTCCTTGCTTTCTAGAACCAGAAGTCATACTTTCAATGCATTGCTCCAGAGGCCCAGCCCCTGTTGCAAAGTTTCACTTGTTATCACCACCCTGAGTAAACCCAGATGCTCAGTCAGAGAATATCTCTTTCAAGCACTTGCATGAAATCTTCCAAATCTTAAATGTGGGTGCTGTCCCCCCAGAATGCTTTTAGAAGCATAAGAACTAAACAGAACACATCTGCTGGTTCGGTGTGTGAGCAGACCCTCAAGTCAGCCACACCTCCATTTTACAGAAAGGGAAACTGAGGCCCAGAAAGGGGAGACACTGACCTGGTGAGTCGTTGAGTCCGGGATTCCACAATTCACCTTCACCAAGCGAAGGAATTCATCACCAAGAATGGGACGACCAACATCGTGTACCTTCTGATACCATGCACTGAGAAGGACACAGCATCACTTTTATAATATTCCTGCCACCAGAATCCGATCACAAGGAAATATCAGACAAACCCAAATCTAGACATCTTACCAAAGAGCTAAGAAGTGGCCTGTGATTTATCGAAAACGTCAACTTCATGAAACACAAAGTTAGGCTGAGCGGTTGTACCAGACTGAAGGACAATATAAAGACATCAAAACTAAATGCAGGACTTCCCTGGTGGTGCAGTGGCTAAGAATCTGCCTGCCAGTGCAGGGAACACGGGTTCGAGCCCTGGTCTGGGAAGATCCCACATGCCACGGAGCAACAGAGCCTGTGTGCCACAACTACTGAGCCCACGTTCTAGAGCCTGAGAGCCACAACTGCTGAAGCCCACGTGCCTAGAGCCCGTGCTCTGCAACAAGAGAAGCTACCACAAAAAGCCCACGCTCAGCAACAAAGACCCAACGTAGCCAAAAATAAATAAACTAAATTAAAAAAAAAAAAAAAAAAAACCTAAATCCAACACATGATCTCGGATTGGATCCTGGACTGGAAAAAATGGTTTGCTATGAGGATAATTTGGGGACAACTGGTGATTTGAATATAGGCTGCAGTGTTACATGCTAGTATTGTATCACTGTTAACTGTCCTGCTTTTGATAACCATACTGTGACTGTGTAAGAGAATGTTCTTATATGTGGAGATACACATCGGAGTGTTTAGGAGCAAAGAGGTAAAATGTCTGAAACTTAACTCTCAAATGGTTC